TTAGTAAATGTCACTATTCTTCTTATGCGAGAGTTTTCAGTATTGTTCCAACATCTTACTGCATCTCAAACTCGCCGCTAAAGATAAAAAGTGAATGTAAAGACCTGGGCGTCTATTTTGACTCCAACTTCAACTTCACAACTCACATAAATTATATTGTTTCTAAATCGTTCGCTATTTTGGCCTTTATTCGTCGAAACTGTTCTTCGTTTTCTGATCCCTATACTCTCAAATTGTTGTACTCGTCCTTAGTTCGGTCCAGGTTAGAATACGCGGTATTCGTTTGGAGACCGTTTCATGCAGTCCATGTTAATAGATTAGAGTCTGTTCAGCGAGCTTTTGTGCGCTTTACTTTGCGCTCGATGAATTTTGTAGATCCCATTCCGTCCTATCGCTCTCGTTTCTTACTAATAAACCTCATGTCCTTAGAGTCTAGGCTTGCTATGTTGTCGATGTGTTTTGTCTTTGATATCTGTGCGGGATCAATAGATTGTCCGTACCTGCTCATGAAAATTAATTTTAATGTTCCCTCACGCATTCTCCGCTGTAATGAATTGTTTTTCGTGGGTATAGCTAAAACTGTCTATGGGATGAATGCTCCTTTTAGGAGGACGCTAGCACAGTTTAATGCGTATTCTTCTTCCTTAGACTTTGATTTCTCATACTCTAAGTCTACTTTTAAGAATCTACTTGTAAGGCTCTTGTCATAAGGTCTTTGTATTTAACTATCATATAGTCTGTAAACATCCTGTTTGTTGTTGATTAATAATAAATAAATAAATTAAAAGCCAATATGGAAACTTTCAATCGCTTAACCGACTCGGTCATAGAGTTTGAAATAGACTTCATGAGTACACCCACTAATGAGCATTCAATACAGTCGCTAAGAATTCCGCTAACTGATCTGAAAGCTATGTGGGATAAAGCCAAGGCTCTATTTGACGAGCTTCTAACAACCGAGTCACTTCCTGCAAAAGATCTGAGTGCAATAAAAAAAGGAAAACTAGCTACTCAGCTTTCTTGCGCGGCATGTCGAAATAAGCGATCTGTGTGATAGGTTAGATAAAATAGAAAAAGAAAACGAGGACATGTCAATTCTTTCAAACAACATACATCTCCCACCCTGCGACACAGATGTATTCAACGGTGATTACCTTACATGGCCAACTTTTCGTGACATGTTCACGGCAATTTATATTTTGAATAAACGGCTTACACCAGTAGAGAAGCTATATCACCTTAGACAGAAAACGCAGGGTGAGGTCAAGGAGATTATTAGCAAATGTCCCTTAACTAATGAAGGCTTTAACACAGCCTGGAAGCATCTCTGTGATAGGTACGAAAACAAGAGAATCCTGGTCAATACGCAATTGAAGATTCTCTTCAATTTGAAGGCGGTCGAAACTGAATGTGGGACATCGATCAAATGGTTGCAAAGGGATATCAACAATTGCATATCTGCCTTAGAAAGCCATCAGATCGATATTTCAAATTGGGACCCAATAATAACGTACTTATGTTCTACAAAACTGCCTGAGGTGACACTTTCGCTGTGGGAACAATCGGTAGAAAATAAAACTGACATTTCCAGGTGGACAGATATGGACCGATTCCTTTCAAATAGGTTCCAAACGCTAGAATCAGTCTCAGGTTTAAGAGGAATCACGGCTTCAAAACCACCAAAGGTTCCGAACTATAAGCATTCCTCTGAACCTTCGCATAAGAGACTTGGTGCTTTTCAAACAAGTGTCGCTAAATATATGTGCAAAATGTGCCAGAGTAACGAACATAAGATGCATCTGTGTCCAAGGTTTCGCAAATTATCCGTAGACGACAGGGTTGCTTTCGTAAAAGACAATAATTGTTGTTTGTCAATGTTATTGTGGCTTGTTAACATTTTATTTATTTATTTTATTTATTTTTGTTGTTTGAACTGTCTCGCCTTTGGACACTTGATATCGAAATGCACTAGTTCGTTCAATTGCGTCACCTGCCATTCTCGACATCACCCTCTCTTACACGTTCAAACAGCACCTCCAGAGGCAACAAATAGGAATGACATTTCTGAACTTTTGGATACTTCAGCGTCCACTTCCAGACAGGCTCAAATGCGCCGCGATTCTACAAAAGGCAAAAGCAAAACGGTTAACAAGGTAAAAACACATCATGCTACACAAGCAAAGGTGTATTATTGGGTACAGCTTGTGTAGACATTCATTTTAATGGCACGAATTTCTTAGCGAGAGCACTAATTGATTCGGGCTCTGAGTATTCTTTCATTACGGAAAGGCTTAGACGCAGAATTAACCTGCCGACTAAGAAAATGCATGCCCAAGTTTCGAGCATCAACAATACGGTTTCTGCGCAGGTAAAAGAATCGTGCTCAGTTCAACTTAGGTCACCCATTGATCCACTGATTTCGATAGAAGCGATGATGTTAGTTTTACCAAGACTTACTGGAAATTTGCCAACGTTCCACATCAGCGCACTCACGCAGCAAGCTCTTCCAGATCTTGTCTTGACGGATAAAAGGTTCTTCATAAACGAGCAAGTCGATCTTGTTCTAGGTGGAGACATCTATCCCCAAATAATTTTAGGCGGTATTCGAAAGAATGTTCTAAGTACGCTATTAGCTCAAGAGACAGTATTCGGTTGGATACTGACGGGTCGGGCAGACTCAGATAATCCGACTACTAATCGCGTATCGTTCTTCAATGAAGTGGCCCTGGATAAACAACTCAGCACTTTCTGGGAGTTAGAAGACATCCCGGAAGACAGGATAATGACAGCGGAGGAAAAGCAATGCGAGGAGCTCTACAAACGAACGACAATGCGGAACCAAGATGGAAGATACATCGTGTCTCTTCCATTTAAAGACGATTTCCCATCTAAAGACACTGTGGTGTAGTTAAAAGAATTTTATTTTTATAAAATTTTAATTTTATGTTTAATGTATTTTAAGATTCAAAGAAGAAAAAATTCTGAAGTATCAAAAATTTTCTTTTTGATTTTCATTAATTGAAAAAGAACTTAATTCAATAATTTCAAAAATAACAAAGTACAAAAATGAACAAAGTACAATAGTAAATAGTATTAACCCTACAATACTCCCCCTTCCAGAGAGTTATTATTATACAAATTGAAAGTAACTTGTTACTTTTTAGTCATTGTTGAAAGTATATGATTGTTAGTGTTATGTGGTTGTGTTATTTCAACTATTGCTGGCTTTAGTCTGTCAATCGAAATAATTTTAATTTCATTATTCACATCTACCTTAAAAAATTGTTTGTCTTTTTCAATAACTCCGTAAGGCCCTTCATAAGGATGTTGAAGAGAATGCTTGTTAATAATACGAATAAAAGCAAATTTGCAAGTTTGTAAATCTTTTGGAACATAAATTCCTCAATCGGTATTTTTGTGATGTTTTAAATTTGAATTAAAGTTTTTAAAACGTTCCCGTAAACTTCCTAAAATTTCGGCGGAAGTAACATTTTCTGTAGTTGACACAACAAGTTCTCCAGGTAGACACAAATTTTGGCCAAAAAGCATTTCAGCTGGAGTGGCTGCAACATCTTCTTTGTACATTGAACGCAAACCAAGAAGAATAATCGGTAGCTAATCGTAACAATCTCTAGTTCCATTCCTAGCCAAAATTGAAGTTTTCAATTGTCTATGCAATCGTTCCACAATACCATTACTTTGAGGATGATAGGAAGAAGTTGTGATATGATGACTTTCAAGTAATTTAGTAAGTTCCGAAAATAATTTGGACGTAAATTGAGTACCCTGATCCGTCGTGATTTCTAAAGGCACACCGAAACGCGAAACATATTCATTAAAATATTTATTTGCAGCTGTCTGTGCAGAGATATCCTTTAAAGCATATGCTTCCGGCCAACGAGTAAATTTATCCAGAATTGTTAAAATGTAGCAGTAACCTCTTGAAACAGGAAGCGGTCTAACAATGTCTAAATGTATATGTTCAAATCTGATCTTTGGAATTGGAATTATGCTCACAGGAGATTTTGTGTGACGATAAACTTTAGATTTCTGGCAACTTATACATCCTTTTGACCACGTATTTATCTCCTTGTTCATACAAGGCCAATAATACTTCTTCACACTGTCCTGCGCAAATTATTTGGAACGAAAAGTCTAGGACTTTCTCCTGACACTTCACACCAAATATTAAAATTTAGAACAGGAATTTTAATTAAATTAAGATTTTGAAATGTTTGTCCAGAAATAAGTTTATCAAGTTCACTGTCCTGTTGCTGTTCACTCTGTAAAATTTTGAAATTAAGTTCTGAATTTTTAATCGCATCTACTTCAAACGCACGAGATAACGTGTCAGCTACAATGTTGGCCTGTCCTTTTGTATATATCACTAGTAAACTGTGCAATAAACTCAAGATGTCTTGTTTGTCTTGGACTACGTTCAGTTTTGGAATTTAGAGCAAAAATCAAGGGTTTGTGGTCAGTAAAAACCGTAAACTGTCTTCCTTCTAATAAATACCGAAAATGTTTAATATTCAAATAAATTGCTAAAAGTTCCCTGTCAAAAGCACTATAGTTCATTTCTGCTGGAGAGAGTTTCTTTAAAAAAAAGAACGCAAGTGGTTCAGACTTATTATTGAAATGCTGCTGTATGACACCACCAATTGCCGTATTGGATGCATCTACCGTTAAAGACAATTTTGAATCTTTGCTAAAGTGATTTAGCAAAATCTTAGATGCAAACTTCTCTGCATTAAGCATTCAAAAGCGTTAATGGATTTGTCATCCCAAACCAAAGTTTTGTCTCGCTTTTTACTTGTTTTATTAATTAGATCATATATAACTCCAGTAAACTTAGCTAATTTTGAAATATATCTATGGTAATAGTTAACCATACCAATAAACTTTTGCGCTTGTTTAATTGACTTCGGTCATTCAAAATTGCGAATCGCTTCTATGCTGTTTACAGAAGGCTGTATCCCTTCCTCAGATAAACAATGTCCTAAAAAATCTATACTTGAAACACCAAAAATGCATTTGCTTGGTTTGACGTTCAAACCATACTCAGAGAAACGTTCGAAAAGTACACGTAGATCCTTTAAATGTTGTTCTTCACTCTCACTTGCGACCAGCAGATCATCAATATACGCGAAAACAAAATCTAATTTACCTACTACTTCGTTGATGAATCTCTAAAAACGTTTGCGCTGAGTTCCTCAGCCCGAAAGGCATTCGGGTGAACTCAAACATACCGAAAGGAGTAGTAATCTCCGTTTTAAAAATGTCATCTTCTGCCATTGCAATTTGGTGATACGCTCTAACTAAATCTAGTTTTGAAAATATATTTGTATTCCTAAGGTTCATATTAAAATCGTGAATATGAGGCAAGGGATAACGATCCGGTACAGTCACAGTATTAAGTCTTCTAAAATCACCACAAGGACGCCAGTCATTAACTTCTTTCTTTGGTACTAAATGAAGTGGAGATGCCACGGATGAATTTGATGGTCTACAAATCCCTGTTTTTACTAAAAAATCGAATTCAATTTTAGCTACTTTAAATTTGATAGGATCTAAGCGCCTTGGCTTAGAAAAAGAAAGGTTTCCTTCAGTGACAAGTCAGTGAACCGTGGTATGCTTAACCGGTTTTGAGTAATCTGGCTCAGAAATAAGTGAAGGAAATTCCTTCAATAACTTTGTATATTGATCATCTACTGAAAAAATTTTCGGAAGAGGAACATTGCAAAAATACAAAATTGTGTTAACTGATAGATTTGTTAACAGATCTACTAAAAATTTGTTTTTAATATCAATAAGAACTCCATATTTACACAAAAAATCAGCTCCTATAATCGGCTTCGCAATATCAGCAATCAAAAATCTAAAAAGGAACTCACGCCTTGAACCCAAATTAATATTCAAAAGTTTCTTCCCGTATGTAAAAATAGTTGAGCCGTTAGCTGCCGTTAAAAGTATATCTGAAGATTTCCTTGTATTCGAAAATTTAGAAACTGGAAGTACCGAAATTCAGCTATCAATTAAAAAATTTAGTTTGTTTGTTTTATCAAATATAAAAAGGCGACGTGTGGAAATGTCCAAATTCCCGTTGTTTGTCGCCGCAACAACGGACGACTTTAGTTTGTTGGACTATTATTTTTCGAAAATGCACATGGTTGTTCACATTTTTTAGCCTTGTTTCCAAATTTATAATATCTACATAACCAATTTGAATTGTCGCGTGATTTTGATCGATATCTAAAAGGACTTTTAAAACGATTCCTTCCTTCAGCAAGAACGTGATCTCGAATAATTTTGATTAATTCCTTTCTTAATTTCGTTTAATTCCAAAGATATTTTTTGAAAATTTTCACAAACCAGCGTTGTTGTCTTAACCAAATCAGTAATAATCGAATTTTCTCCTTTTGAATTTTGAAAACTATTTACTAAAGCAATTTCATTTTTATTGATAACTTCCCAAACATTATCTGCTAACTTAATCAATTCATTAATATCACTAGAGTTCGAACTAGTTAAAATTACATTCAAATTTTTTGGTAATTTTCTCATCCAAAGTTTCTTCAAAACTTCCTGGCTAAAATTAGAACCAGAAAGTAATACGAGAGACCGATAAAATTCCGAGGACTTACGATCACCCATCTCAGAATCAGACAACACTTTATCTAACTTGGCATTCTTGCTTAATGAATGCCTTTCAATCAAAATTTCCTTCAACGCCAAAAATTTATTATTCTCCGGTGGATCTCGAATAAAATCTAAAATTGTCATAATTACTTCCTGAGGAAGTGCAGTAATAATATACTCATACTTAGTTGTTTCTTGAGTAATATTTTTAGTATTGAACTGCATTTCAGCATGAATAAACCATGCTTCAGGACAACTTGTCCAAAACTGTGGAAGTTTGATAGATGTGGCGAAAATTTCATTAGCTATCCGATTGTCAGACGTTGCGTATGGATTTGTAAGTTCTTCTTGATGTATGTTATTTTGTAAATCAATAAACGAATCGTGTAAACTATTTGTTCGTGTAGTTGTATGTGTGTCTGGGTGTGATAAACGGAACATAAGTATAATTTCAAACAAAAATCTCTAAAAAGGGGCGTTTAAAACCAATAAAATATTTCAAATATAAGAAATAATAATAATATATTAAAATTGTACTAAATTATAGTCAAAACAATTATCAAACATCTGAAATGCTTAATATGCTGCTTAATGGACAGCACAGTCAAATATAAATTTATATATATATATATATATGTATATATATATATGTGTATATATATATGTAAATATATATAGATATGTTAAAATGAATTCAATAAATATCTTATATTTAATATATTTACTTGCAATTTTTAAAATGTTTGAATTGTTGCCTTATGGCAGCTGAGAAATTGTAACAAATTTGTTTCGACGCGGTTGTAATTAGTTATGTGCGTATATCCGAACTACCGTTATCTTTTTAAATGAATGCCTTGACGAATAGTCGCTGTCTGCGTGCATACAACTTGACACTCAGCTTTTCACGACGATGACGGAGGCAGTTGTTTAAACGTAGACACTTGATGGTTTCATTGACTGTTCGTATGACATTGACGCTATCGTTTTTCTTTTCGCTGCATTAGCTGACTTTGTTCTTGCACTCAGGCTTTTATTGCTGTGGCTCGAAGTGACGGTGCATTTTTGCTATTTTTTACTGCATCTGTACAAGCATGGTGACTCGCACTAAATCTGCGCGCCTGGTCGGCATTTCGCCACCAAAACCACCCACGCCCCAACTTAAAGCGGGTAAAGACGAGAATTGCCCTCCACCTTCATGGATTACACGGCTTGAAGCAAAAATAGAGAATGCAATGGAGCAGATAACTGAGCGACTAAAGGTGTCAGAAG